TTTATTTTGTTTGGAGTTGGAGTTGTCAGTGTGTGAATCAAAGTCTAGTTAGACCTCCTTGATGATTTTAATGCAGATTATGCTGGGTTCTTCAGACTCACTTCTTCACTTTTCAAGATCCTGACTGACACAGACCAATGCATTTTATTTCGTTGAATCAGTTATGACATTTAATGCCCATAGAATTGCAGACAGAGGGGGCTGTGCAAGCACCTGTTTTCCTGAATTGTGTACTATTTAAAACAAACAGTTTTGTGGTTTGACATCAAAATATTTTGCTTTTCAATAATAAAATAAAACCACATATAGAGATATGGAAATTGATACACAATTTCGACATTTGTGATAATACTATCTCAATATTTTTCATTCTTTCTAGTGAGACAGGCCTTTAAGAGAGACTCCCTTCAATCTGTGACCAAGTTGCATAAATTAGTTGTGTGTGCTTTAGAAGGTTTCAGGCTGCAAACCTTGAGGGGACTGTGACAGAAGTGGAGTGAGGGAATAGGATTTAGACTTTTTATTTTCTTTTAGGTTCTAATAAGATTTTAAGTGTCTTGTATCTTCTGATTGCCTCTCCTGACTCTTCAGAGTTGCGAACAACTGACTGAGAAAAGTTATACTAAATATATCAAATTTGACTTATTAAAATTATATTTTCCTGTTAGCAGGCTTTCCTCAAAGACGGTGAGTTTTGAGGAACTAGCAAAATATTGCAAGAGGGAAAAAAACAGCACATACATCAATGATGGAGCTTGATCACCTCTGCAATCAGTGAAAGATCTGTCTCTGTATGGAGGGAATGGTTGGACCTACCTTTCTTTCTTCCTTTTTTCCCCATTTTTGGCTGCTTGTTCAATAACAGCTTTCACGTGTGACAAAACTGAATATTTATGAGTAGTCTGCCCACCAGTATCTTTCCACTGGAACGACTTCTGCTCTTCCAAATCTTTGAGCAATGTTGAAGGACTTTCCATGAGTTTAAAACTAACCATCTAGAAAAGAAAAGAGAAGAGCAAAAGGAAAGAGAAAAGGAGAAAAAGCTTTATTTATTTAATTTATTTTCCAGTCTTCTTAAGGATAAACTGCTCTTTGACAAAATGATAAATATTTAGTTATAGCAACATATATAAATTCCATTGGTTCTGAAGCCTAGTTTCCTCTCACAGCAGATCATAATTGCTCTTTTCTTGCAATGAATAATAATGGTCATTCTTTACACTTCTCAAAAATGCCTTGCTCTCAGTTCATAGTGTAATGATATGTATAACAGTACCTTAGATCACACTGGGAGCTTTGCAAAATATATTATTTTGCTTTTCTCAAGAACCCTTTAGTATTAGAATTTAGCTTCCAGTGGGGAAATGGCTTTGTAGGTGCACAGATACAAATAATGTGGGTTTTTTTTYCCCCAATATAATGTATGCCATGCTATAATACATATATTAAAAACATTTGGGGATGAAATAAGGGGGAATATTACATGCTGGTTAGGGCTTACATGGATAATTCACTTTGCTCCTAATGGGATATCTGTGATAATACTGGTTTATTTATGCCACACCGAAAAATCCCTCCATAGACCACTGTATACACATTATATATACTCAGAATTTCCCTGAAGAAGGCCCAGAAATCACAGTTTTTTGCAGAAAGAGCTGCAACCAGTGAGGAAGGATACACCTGACATCTGAATACACGAGCAAATACATGTTGATTGCTACTCTGTGCTGATAAATGCAGCCTCCTGAAATCTTGGGGAAGGGAAAATGTCTGCTAAATGTTATAGTGCTGCTGCATACTAACCAGGAATGAGATTTCAACTTTATTGTTGGGAAATCCCCAAAGCCTTTGCTGCGCTGCTTCAATATGCAGCTGTGGCACACACAGGGCAAGCAGGAGGCTGTGCAAAAAAATAAATCTCTGAACAAGRAGCTGGTCATGCACACTAGCACATTTTTGGGCTAGATGTATTCCTGATGTAAATATAAGGATATAATTCATATTATTCAAATGATGAAATTGATMTTATTATGGCTAGCTGACAAATGCATACCAAATTTGTAAGCAAATTAAAGGTTACAGGCATAGGGAGTTGGAAACTAATAACTTATTTTAAAATATATTTGAAAATACCTGGAGAAARCCTAAATGAACGCTGGTGTGTAATAGGTAGCTGTTGTTCGAGCATGGAGTTTTTGTCTTCAAGTCTCGTGATTCTCRTCTTCAGTCTTCTGGTCACAATTATAACATCTGGAAAAGATAGCATTAGATATTACAATTTCAAAAAAAAAAAAAAGTTTAATTAAGTTTAAGTTTAAACTTAGTTAAGATTTGACTTAAATGGAGATTAAGCTGGTTTGCTGTTTTGAAGATTTGTTACAAGGCAGTATATGCACCTACCTTCTCGTATGGCCAAGTTTTCTGATTTTTTTATATCACTTTATATCACCATTTTTTTATATCACTTCAGATATATCTAGATCTAGTTTTGAATGGGAAATATTTTTTGTATATGCATATGTAAAATAATGTCATTTTATTGGCACATTTTTACCATTTTATAGGAAGATTAGCAAGTGAAAGTTGAATACATAGAGAATCAGAAATGAAGTGAGAAAGTGTTGCTTTAGCAATAATAGTAGTAATAATAATAATAAAGATAAAAGAGATGGACACACACACTTTTGAAGCTTTCCAGGTTTCAGGGTCCAAATATGGGAATAATACTTACCAAAACATTGAAAATAAGGGAGAACCAGTAAAGAAATTAGTATATTCTAATGGGAGAATTAAAAGAAGTGCAGCTGTGCTTGCTTTCCCTGCTGATCCCTAGTCTTCAAATTCCTCTAAATTAAATTGTAAAAAAGTGATCTCATTTTCTGTTTTCTGCTAGGCTACATAGTTAATCCCTGATACAGAAATATATTAAGAATACCTATATTTAGGTAAGTAATTATTATTAAAATCGGGATGGCCTCAATCCAAAGTGATTCAACGATTTATAAGAGTTTTCAGCGCATATCTGAACCCAGATCTAAATTTTGTCAGTGGGATTGTCTTTGTCAAATCCTTTCATTTATAACCTAATCTTCAGGAAAAAAATCAGACCATGATTTTAACAGGAACATTCAGTTGTTGCAGCAAACACACGTACTGAAATATTCTGAAACAGCCGGTCTCCTTGGCTTTTTTTTTTTTTAAGCTTCTGATTATTTTTTCTTGATGATTTTCCTGATGACAGCATGGTAAGAAGAGCAGATGAGACTGGAAGGGGACCCTCTGTGGTGTCAATAGCTGCCTGTGCCAGATACCATAGAGCTCCTAAACTTCTAAGCCAACTTCTAAGGACCAACAAATAAAAGACGCTTTAAGAAGTTTAATTGAAGTTCTTCTGTTACTCAGTATTCCTGGACCTTTACTGATGTTAGAAGAATATATATATTTTAAATTTCTCATTTTCCAAGCCAACGTGAATGCAACCTTTAAATGTACTGTCACCTTAGATATAGAGCGTCAGAACTTTTTAAAATAGGATAAGCTTATTTAAAATGGAGCAATTATAACCATAGGCAAAACCTGAATATCTCTATGCTACTTGAATTACAGTATTTAGTTTTGGGTTTTTTTTTTTTTTTCAGTTACCAGACTCATTCTGACCCATCTGCAAATGGCACATGTGAGTTGCAGGCACTTAGAGCACTGTCTTTATCAGACATAAGCACTTGTATCTGATAAATAACTACCTCTCTTCCCAGGATGCCTTTTTTCTTAACATGCCCTTTTTCTCTCCTGCCTCCGTTGCCACCAGCTCAAAATGAAAAGTTAGAGGAAAAAAAGCTTGTCAGCAAAGAATTGTTCTGGGACTTTGGAGCGAAACTAGGATATTTATGGATTTATTATATTCCCTGTGATAACAAGTTTCCGAGATGTTAGTACACTGTCAAACGCTTTTCAAGGTTAACAGTTTAGGGACACAATTATGTTGCAAGAKGTCTGCAAGATTAATTAAGTGTATTTCAGAGACAGGGGAGAAAAAGTGCTCCAGCAACCAYTAGAGTATGAGCAATTCCAGCTTCAGGAGCAGTTCCCAGTCACTCCAGCCCTCTTCAGAAAATCTCCCGCCACGTTTAAGACTTCCTCAGAAGCCAGTGAAATGTCCTGAGAGGGACAGCGATGGGGATGGCAAAGCCACCATTGATGTCTGCAGCTTCCCTACTGTTTCTGCACCTTATCGTTTGGTTCCAACAGGGAAATTATTGGGTCAGTAAATAAATAGTCAGGGATTGTGTGTGAAAATAATTGCAAGATCCAGAGAATTATGARTATTAAAGGTCTCAAATGAGAAAATTCTCCAGCACTTTAATCAAAGCATTGCAAGAGGCATACATATAAATTTCTATAAATATAAATAAAACCTGATATTATTTTTTTTCTTTTATCCCAGTCATTAATGAGGGATAATGCTGGATTAAAGAGGGTCAAAGAGATTTATTGATACAAACTGAGGACACTGAAGGAGTATGCCACTGCTGGCTTAGGTCCTCTTCCTGCAAAAAGGACGGGGATGAATGAACAAGTGTCTCAATGAATGACTGACTAGATGAATGAAAGAAAGAATGAATGTGTAATCTAATAAATACATTAAAATACATTGCCAACTTGCTGGGCTCACATGAGCTCTTCGGGGCCTTTGTAAAAATGATGCAACCATGTCCTTGTTTTTATTAAAGTCTTCTTTGCTCAGTTCCTCCAAGTATTTAATAACTACCAATGGTCATAAGGTGCTTTGCAGTTAGGAGAGTGTAGGATGTGGCTCCTTGCACTATGTAACATATAGGTACTTGAAACTCAGCGGGGTCCCCTCTCCCCTGGGATGCTCCTGATAGCACCCTGTGGAGCAGGAGCACAAGTGCATAAGAACATGTGTGTGTGTGTGTGTGTGTGTATATATATATATATATAAAGAACATATCAATATCTTTATATATCAAGAACATACCAAAAGCCTCGTCCTGCTGCAGCTGGCAGAAACCACATATCTAGCTTCTGGGGAGCAATTTTATCCTTTCTGAAGAGACATCGGTGACCCAAATTATTGTTTTTCTGAAGATGAATTTTGTTTTGGACTTCCTGATCCACCTCAGCACATCTACTGCCTTCTCCCTTCCTTCTGCTTGTGAAAAAAGAACCCAAGGACGAAGGTCTTCTAGCTTAAGACAGAGGGCCTCCAAATGGAAATTACAAAGCAATGGTTGCCAATTCAATTAGCTTTCGCACATCCACACACAGATGGAAGGGCTCCTGGAAGGAAAGAATATTTAATACAAATGGTTTTTATTTTAAAAATAAAAAGAGCAGCTTTATTTCCTACCACTAATGGCTCTATCAGTCAGGTCAAGGATAATGAATGAAAATTTTCCAAAAGTTCACTCATACCTTAATTTATGTTATTGACAATGTTCTCCTTCATAAAACCTACATTTGCAAATGCAAAATCAACAGTTAAATGTTTGCTTTACCTGTACCTGTATTTCCCCAAGGAGACAGATAGTTCTTTATCCAAATTTCACTCTATTCGCTTTCATTCAGTAAGTTTTCAAATAGCCTTCTATACTTTTTACCATTACGGTTGGTAAATATATTCTGTAAAGTTAAAAGAGAAAGTATTTTTATTTCATAATAAGAACTTTAGCCTCTATGCATCTCCATTTTTTGCTTTAATTTTTCCTTAGTTTTTAACACACACAAATTTTACTTTCTAATGAAATGAAAAACCTGATAAAGGGAGATGGCCTCTGGAATAAAAGACAGTGGTCAAGAAAAACGTTACAGAAAGTACTAGATGCATACAAACAGCATTGGAGCTATATTTTTAGCAGGACCTAGGTTACATATTTTGAGCAACAGTTTCAGGTAGACAGAGTAACTGTTAAAAGCAGGTGTTTATTCCAAAAGCTGCAGCAATGTTTTCCTGTCATGTTGCATTAAATCACTTATGATGCATCATGTTACGTCATGTTAGTACATATGGTGAAGAAGCCAAAGTGGAGTAACGTGATGTGACAGACAACATTTAGCAAAAAATATTCACTTATTTGACTCAGATACATGCTATCAGCTCGAATCAGAGAGTGTGGTCCTAAAAGGAGCTGACAGAYGGAAGTGAACTCACCCAGAAATGGTGTCCAATGTAAATCCAAAAGTTTCTTGTCATGTACCTGCTGCTCGTCCTGCTGATMGCTATTACTATCCTCAGTTCCTCTTTCTCAGCAGCTTCGTCCCAGCTGTGGGTTGTTTGACCAGTTGGTTGTCATTTATTTTGACATAACTCATGACTTCCCAAGAGAGCCCGATCACATCCCGATATTCTTTAAAGCACTGTTAAATGACAGTTGATGGAATTGCCAGAAATTGTTTTTATGCGAGTGAGATTATATTGAACTACAAATAAAAAAGGGTGCCTGGGCACTGTATATTTATGTATTTATGTATAGAGGGACTATTTTGGGTAACAAGAAGTTTATTCTTGAAGGCACCTCTTGGGAAAATGTGCCTGCCTGTCTGTGCACACAAGGCATCGTTCCTTGCTCTTGGTTTGGGGAACTTGGAGGCAATTTGCAGAGAATCCTCAGAGGAAGTGTGATCTCGTCCTCCTGCTTACCTGACGAAAAATAATTAAAATTTGATTAAATAATTAATACTGGATGTTGCTTAGCAGGTGCTAAGAGGCTGTTTTAATATTTTTTGTAGCTTTTTTTTTTGAAATTTAGGAATAAAACAGACATAATTGAGCACATTATTCTGAAGCTGCAAATGACTGTGGAGAGAATCGAGGGAAGCAACATTTCTTTGATTAGAATATTTTTCTCATTAACAGGATGTTCAAAATAAAGCAAAAACATTTGATGCACAGAGCCTGTGGCAATATCGAGTCGACACTGTCGTGCTCCCACGTTCCACCTCACGCTTACTAATCAATCAAAAAAAGACTCTTGCTGGCAAGAAAGATCATGTCTTTAATCACATAGCCGAAACTTTTTGACATCCAGCAATAGGGCTTTCTACATCATGTGCTTTTCCACACAGAGTTAATGCCCCAGGTCGTGGGCTTGTGCTGGAGTGATTGGATAAATCCAAATGTTCAATACCACATGCTTCAAGCGAGGAGAATGTCATATTTAGTGCAGGAGGTTGTGTTGTTCAAAGAGTTGCATCCATGTTTAAATTATTTAGAGGAGGGCATAGTCAGGACAATGTTTGGGTAGGCACCTTGGTGCATTGGTGGTTCACATGCTAAAGTCAAGCTTAAAAAATACATGTCCTGACGGAGTGAGGTGCAGTAGGAAAAGCTGCAGCATCACATACCCTTATTTCTCCTGGACAGATAGACATAGGTTATGATCCTGCTCCATGTATTCATTCTCCAATTCATCTCAGGATTGAAAAACAAAACAAAACTGTATGTTTCTAGCATAGCCTTGCAGTTCCTACCCTTTCTCTCCAAAAAGATTTGCTAAAAACTGTGATACAGTCAATTTAGTTGCTGGTTGAAAATACAACAGCATGGAGGGGATGTGTCACAYGCTGAGAACAGATGTGACCAGAGCATCCTGCTCAGCGTTTGTCTTGCCCAACTGGCTGGCTCTTCTGGGAAGGTACCCAGATACTGTGGACTGGAGGCTGAGCCCCTAAAACCATCTCCTGGAACGAGATGGGCTGGAATCAGGGAAGATTAGGAAATATCCCTGCATTTCCTGGGTTTTATTCTCCTCTGCCTCTTGCAGAGATGTCTCCAGATCAGTGGCCATACCAGGAYGGAGACTTGCTCCCAGACAGGATTTGCACCCTCAGCCTCCCAGAGAAATCATTGGTAGGAAAAGATGCCCATGTTGCCTGCAGCTATAGCACATACTGCATGGCATGACACACACATAAGTGAGATTAATTTGAGTTCTGGGCATCATTAGCTCAATTAAAACTGTGATTTTTTAGTTCAGACCTACAGGCCATTGCAGAGAAGAGTAATCAGAAGACAAAAACGAGTTCCCTAGTTAAAAATTAATTCCCTAGACTAAAAATATAATCAAAGGATGTCTACAGTATTTTATGAAGAGCTAAGAGGATAATAAAACTTAAAGCACTGCAACATTTGCATTTTGCTCATCTCTATCCATATTTTTTCCTTATACCCCAGCTTTCCGTGTGCTTGTTAATCACATGCACTGCTACAGTCCTGGCATTTTAAGATCACTCTGCGCGTGGAGATTGAAAGGCAACTAATTACAGTCACATTTCAAGGGGTTGCTTAAAGCTCCTGCGGCGCCGRCTACAGCAGAGGAGCCCTGACCTTTATTTGTAAGCAGGAAAAGCAGGTGGAGATGAAAGATTGCTTCCCTGGCAGCTCCTGTGCTGGGATCCGGAGCTGGGCTCCTCTCCCGGCTGGCAGCAGAGGCCACTAGTGCCATGCAGAAGCCACGGTCCTGTAGCTCTCCCTGGGGCTGCCAGGAAACAAGCAGGGAAGGAGCAGATCCCAGGAATCCGGCACGTGGACCTCTTTGAGCTCAGGGTTTGCACAGCACACGGCTCTGAGCAAAGCCATCGTGGGGCTCTGGGCACCCCCTCRATGTGCCAGCCCCATCAGTGCCAAGGGACCCTCATCCGTGCACACACGGGGACTTCTCCTGCCTGTAGCACCAATGGGATCCRTCAGGGAGGCAGGAGGGCCCCCGATCTGTGGAAATGAGGGCAAATCCTAACGCTGATTTCATTAAGCTTAAGCATATCCCAAGCATGCTGAACATCAAGCACGTCGCCCGTCATGCCAAGGCTTGCCCCGTGTCCCAAGAGATGCCTGTGTGTCCCAAGGGATGCCCTGCGCTTATCCCAGGTCCATCCAAGCACCGGCTACCAGAGAAACCATCTCCCCACACTGGACCTGCTAGCACCCCTTGTGCACTGCATTTACCTGAGTTTATCAGCTCAACCATTTACTACTACTGGCAGGAATCACTGTTGGAACATRGAGTTTTGGTGGGTTTAATAGCAATATCTGCCAGGCTGTTTGCATTTGTCAGCTGGAAAAGCTCCATTTATAGCATTGCACAAGGAGGAACGCTCGCGTGAAACTTCTGCCTTACATTCCACACGAGTATGTTCTTCAAAGAAAAATTTCCTCATGCAAATATTTACAGAAACCAGAGAAAAAAAAATAGACTAGCAATGGCTGCTGCAGTGAACTTCTAATTACAATCCACAAAGTGTTTATGAATAAATTTGTCTATTATTTGTCTAGCTCTAGCRCTGAGTACACTTTGCCTTGTGCTATTAGGGGCTGAAGGAAACAATATGCAGCATGAAAATGAAACAATTTGACTTAATTATTTACACCATTACCAYCCCTTTGAATTAGGTTCCCCATTTCCTTGGTATTTTGTAAAATTTAACTGGTAATTATGCTTGCTTAATTCATTTTGTTTATCTAATACTACAATAAGATCAAAACAACAACAGCAAAAAAAAAGAACCATCAGAGTGCAAAGAGTTAGCTATGTTCCCAAACTGTAAATGCTGCTTTTAAGCCTTTATGACAAATATGAACTCTCTTGTACATTTAATTTAAAGCGTCTCTGGCTGAGCTCCAATACTATTTAAGTGTAAACAGGAAAAGCCTGGGAGGACAAGTAATCATATTTAGATGACACAAAGATCACTAAAAAAATGTTCCAAAAACAGGGYCAAATTAGACATTGCAAAGACTGTTTGAAGGGTTTCAGCAGATGGTGAAGAGAGCTGAAATAAGGGGGTATGAGAGGGAAGGAAAAGCAATGGACCTTTCTTACCCCTGTAGCTCGGAYGTGGCATCTCCCATCTTGTCTTAACCAGATACCGAGCTCAAGATCAAATCTATCTGAGGTGCTCAACTGAAGCGTTCTCTGAACTACAGGCTGGGAAATCCCTGCTTTATTCCATTAAAATTGTCAGCCAGATTTATTCCTGGACGAGAACAAATGAGCACGTCAGCGTAAGTTATTGTGGCAATTTGTGAAACTGCTAATGAGGTATTTGCAGAGAAGGAAGAACTCTGTTATTATATTATGGCACAATAATTCTATTTTGATGCAGGCAAAGAGTTTATATTTTATCGCCAATGGCACCCTGCATCAGTGGCAATGCATGAGTAAGCTAGATGTGTGATTAAGTATTTAAATACAAGGGTCTAACAGCCTCCTCAGGAGCGAGTGCTCACTCATATAAACGCGAAAATAGGTGTATGTGCCATTGGTAGGGAGAAATGCCCCAAAGTGAGATGATTCTGCACCTTTATCACAAGGTATTTTTCTTTTCTTGTCTGAAGAACTTTACCAGGTTGCTTTCTTTTGACTACCTTTATCAGTAGAAATATGTAGACAGGAAGGTAGCTTGCAAGAGCATGTGGTTATCCCACAGCTCAGTTTCTCATCTATAAAATATTAATGTGAGGCTATTTATAACATTAATTCCTACCTTCACGTAATTAACATCATTAATTCTTAGAGACTGCTTTCATTTGCAAAGGACTCTTTGAGGAGCACCAGTTCTGTGCCATCTTTATAAAAGTCATTTCCAAAGAACACTGAACAAGGGTTGGTAGACCCCACCTTCTTCATTATATTAAATGGCAATGTCTTTGAGGGAAAACAAAAGCTCCAAAACAGTGCAAGTGGGGCTTTAGCAGCAAATATATAGAAAATGAATGTTCTGCTAATGTGCCACAACATTAAGAAAGCAGCCTAGCTTCTACCTGCTAGCAGAGGTTGCTGTGAGGCTAATGATTAATCAGGGAATTTATTTTCGGCAATAAAGCACACAAAGGAATCCAAACACAAATATTTGAATGATTAAATAATCTGGGAAGCACATGCAATGTGCTGTGTGTGAGGAGCTTGTTAAGCAGCAGTCCCTAGAGCCATTTCTTGAGGCCTATTAGGCCAATATTGGGGCCCACAGGATTTTCCAATATTGCAGAGATTTACGGAAGCCAGGACACCCAACAGGCTCCAAGAAGAGCCAAGTACTTCTAACTCATTTCCTTGCTGAATATTGTTTCCCAGGAAAAGGGGAAAACAGGAATTCCTACTTTAATATAATACAGGTTCCGTCCCTCAAGCTCTTCAAATTGGTGTTTTTTCCCTCTGAGAAATCCTGTTGATTTTAATTGGGTACTTGACCTGGAATAAGAGAAACAGTTTCTTTGTCCTTATTTAACCAAACAAATTTTTATTCCCTTCCCAATTATTAATTTCCTTAAATGTAAAGTGACATCTCCAAAATGAAAACAGTTTATTGCTTGCCAGGAGCAAAGACGGGCTAATTTACGAAATTCAGAATTAAAGCTTTTG